CCGACCAGCAAACAAAGCAACAACTCATGCGGCGTTAAGAGTCTACGGGGGTGAAGGGGTGTAGCTTCGTCGGCCAGGAGTCTACGCTTCGTCGGCCGGCCCCTTTCCATTACCCTGGCCTCGCCGGGAGTCTGGAGGAAACATCCGACCTGGGCAGTCAATCCAAGCAAGGGCATGCTGAAGTCAGCGCATCTCAGAGCAAAACCGGATGCCCGTTTGCCTAAGCCACAAAAGTCTGCACCGCGTCTTGTAGACCAAACGTGTGGTATTCCTAAGGGCTTACAAGCTGCAACCGATTCACGAGCATGCTTTGAAGCATAAACTGGAAAGTCTGCAGGCATTCAACATGCAAGATTCTCAGAGGCAGTCAAGTGCCAGAAGCTGCGACAGCAACGCGCATCATAAAGGAGTGAGGCAGAAACCTCAAACTTTTCACGCGCTATTTTCAAAACAGGAGGTCGGCGCCGGCAGTCTGGGCCGAATCGCAGCGAAAGGTCCAAGGACACAAAAGCCCGGCTCTGCACCACTGCGTCTGTAACTTCCGCCCATCGCCACTCCTGAAAAACACACTGCGCAGCAAACACTCCCCTCTCGCAGGATGTAGGATCTGTGCTCCTAGCACCCGCATACAAGGATGGCTCCTCTTTACATCTGGGAAAGCATGTTCCAAAAATAGGGTACAACGGACCCTAAATGTCGTCCTCATTCGCCAGGTTGACCTGCAGCTGCTGCGCCACCACCCCCACCACCGCCTGTTCGGTGCGGCTGAGAGAGACACGGATACAGATATAGACATATGTATATATATATATATATATATATATATATATATATATATTTATGTATACATATATACACACAGACGCATACACATACATATATACACATATGTGTGTACATGATTTCTGGTCTCCCTAATTTCAAACAGAAGTGCGCAGGTGGCATCGAGCTTCAGAGACAAGACGTCAAGAAACCGGCAACCTCGCGGGTTAGCGCCTGCAACGCCACCACCACCTTTGACACAAGTGTCTTGCGCGAACACGGCAGCCTCCGGCAACAACGCAGCCGCCATCCAGTCGCTGGACGACCGGGTCACCGCAGAGCTGGCGTCAAAGCTGGACAGCAGCGCGCTGGCGCCGGCAATCGCGCCCCTGGCCACGGCAGCGGCCCTGGCCACCACGGACGGACAGGCGTTACTGCGCGGCAACTTCGTCCGCTGCGCGTTCAACGCCCCGGCGCTCGGCGCGCGAGTAGCGCAGCTGGGGTACCTGGCGGTGCGCTGCCTCCGTCAGCCGGCTCACGTCGTCCAGGTGCCGCTGCCCCTCCTGGGCCAGCCTGCGCTCTCCCAGCCAGTAAGGCCCGCGCCTCGGCGGCTGCAGGTCGTAACTCGGGTAGGTCTTGCGGAACCACCGGAGCATCTGCGGCTCGTTGCGGGGCTCTATGGACATCATCCTGCTTTTACACTAGTACGCTCGCTCCTGCCGTCAGCCGGTCGTAGGCCGACTGCCTCTCCAGCATGCGCGTGGCGCGCTCGCTCGGCCGAGGCGCTTCTTCGGGCTCGGGCCGCACCTCGGGCCGCACCTCTCTGTACCTCGGGCTCGGGCTGTACCTCGGGCTCTGGTAGTACCTCGGGCTCTAACTGTGCCTCGGGCGCAGCTTTGCGGCTCCAGACTCCATGCGCGGCCGTGCCGAGGAAGGCGCCGGTGACGCCCGCGTAGTCGTTGTCGGCCGCGCTGACGTACATCGCCAAGTTGGAGGCCGTGCCACCGGCAGCCGAAGGAGTAGCGTCTCCCCGGCGTCAGGGTGTAGGTGCGCACGATGTTCCAGGCCCTGCTGCTTTTTCCACCCAAAAGCGCCCATGTCCAAAAGATCCATTGGCTCAGTGGTCAAGCCCGGTCTGATTTGCAGCATTCCGGGGCTTGAATCCCGGCGGTGACATACCGGTGACAAACGGCGTCAAGCTCGGCGGGCTGCTTTTTCCACCCAAAAACGCGCCCCGGTGACAAGCGGTGACAAGCGGTGACAAGCGGTGACAAGGTCGGCGGGCTGCTTTTTCCAGCAAAAGAAGCTCCCTTGTCTCAGTGGTTAAGCACTGTCTCTGCACCACCCTGGTCTGGGGCTCGAATCCCGGCTATGTACCCGACGCCCATTAATGAACCAATATTGTTTCAAGCCGACTCAATATTGACTCAATTTTGCCAAGATTTCGAGCCCTGGAAGTCTTTCAGGACGTTCGGCAGGTTGGCGTGTTAGACCCGGTGACAAAGGCGGTGACAAGTTCGGCAGGTTGCTGTGTGAGGAGCGAGGACCTCGGCAGGCTGCCGTGCTTGGGCGAAAAACGGAAAATCGTGTGAAGAACGAAATCTTCGGGAAGTCGGGAAGTTGGCCGTTTTTGCGCACTTTTTCGACCCAAAAGGGAGCGGCGACGTAGCGGTGACAAACGGTGACAAGCTCAGCGGGATGGAACTTGCCGCAACGAGCTTTTCGGGAATTCGGGAAGTTGGCCGTTTTGGGCACTTTTTCGGCCCAAAAAGGGAGCGGTGACATCGAACGGTGACATCGGAAAAACGTTCAGCCGGATGGAGAATTTGGCTGTTTTGGCGGGTTTTTCGGGCCAAAAACGAAAATTAATTAGGTAGTATAAGCCTTAGTTCCTTACTACTCGGACCGGGGCTACGCGCTGCTCTCCCGCGCGGACGGGCAGCTGACCCGGGCGGGTGCACTTGGCGTGGGGGAACTGGAATGCCCGACAGTACCACAATGGGTGCACCATGAATTACTACGGCGCAAAGGGGGGGCACGACCTCGCGCTCGCGAGCAAGCACCGTCTCTGCACCCTGGTCTGGGGCTCAAATCCCGGCTATTTGCTCGAAACCCGACGGTGGCACCGGGCTACCTTTGCCCATGAATGAACTATTGTTTCAAGTTGATTCAACATGATTCAATATTGCCAAGATTTTGACCCCTGGAAGTCGACTCTGGACGTTCGGCAGGTTGGCGTGTTAGAGCTGGTGACAAAAACGGTGACAAGTTCGGCAGGTTGTCGTGTCAGGGGTGACGAGCTCGGTAGGTTGCCGTGTCAGGTCCTGTGCTTGGGCGAAAACGGAAAATTTTGCTGAAGAACGAAGTCTTCGGGAAGTTGGGAAATTGGCCGTTTAGCGGCCTTTTTCAGCCCAAAAGCTAGCGGTGACATAGCGGTGACAAACGGTGACAAGCTCGGCAGGATGGATCTTGGCAGCTTTTTCGGGCCGAAAACGGAAATCGAGAGGAGCGTACGTGTCTGGACCCTGTTTTCGGCAAAAAACGCGCAAATCGAGAGGCATATGCCCCTTACTTGCCCTCTGACCGAAAAGAACGAGGTTTCAGGAATTCGGGAAGTTGGCCGTTTTGGGCACTTTTTCGGCCCAAAAGGTAGCGGTGACATAGCGGTGACATTGTCGGTGACGAGTTCAGCCGGATGGAAATTTGGCTGTTTTGGCGGCTTTTTCGGTCCAAAAACGAAAATAATTAGGTTACTATAGGCCGCACTTCCTTACGACTCAGAACACTTTGTGGCTGACCTTTTTTCCCCTCTTTTTTGGTTGAGGGGTCGTTACAGTGCAGCTCCAAGGCTTCTGCTGCATTGTCGCGTTCAGGAATCTTGGTGGACGAGGTTTTTTTCCTGGACGACGAGTGAGAATCCTCACAGGTGCGAAACAGTGCGTTTGGAGAAACCCCTCTGAAGAGAGAGGCTCAAGCCTGGAGGACCGCCGCAGCATCCACATCTCCCCTCGGCCCAAGCTGAAAGCGTGGTTGGCGCGTAGGGCAAGTGGACACGCAAAAGGTTGCCCGCCACTTTGAAACTGGATGCTTGCGTGTACGCCATTGGCCCGGAAAACAGCGGAAAACTCTACATCGTAGATTTGCGCGCGACTGCTGGCAGTGTAAAGTCTGGTTGCAGCCATTGCACCACTCACGACGAATGGTCTTTTTTCGTGAATCCGTAAACGGCGCATTGCCCGAATTTCGCCCAGCGCGAACCACACAGCGCGCGTGGTCAAACTCGAGCCACGTTTGTGCGTTGAATGTAATCTTGTTGTCAGATGAATCCAGCACGTTGGACTTTGCAGACAAGGCACATGCGGGCACGTGCGGCAAGAAGTAAAACATCACACCGAAAATGTTTCAACAGCAGCAAGCGGCGCTGCCTGGCTGTGGACATGCTTGGACACGTGTTTCAAGTGTCTGTGCCTGCGACAAGAAAGTTTTGCACAGCAGCGAAAAAACGTGTTGTGCTTATCATTTGACTGGCGCATTTGGCGTGGGGTTTTAACTGACGGCGAACCCAGTGTTGCGTAAGAATTGCAGTCGGGAAACATGTTAGAACTTGCTCACCTGATTTTTGCTTCCGGCAACGGCAAACCGTTGGACGTGCGTTTGCAATCCAGAAATTTTGTTACCGTCCACCAAACGGAGTCTTTTTGTTCCACCATGTCTGTTCGTGAAAAAAACCAAATTCTGAACATTTGGGCATGGTGGCTACAATGACGAGTTGCTTTTGCCGCATCATATTTTAGATGAGACTGCCTCACTGGATTTACAGCGTTCAAGACGTGTAAATTTTTCAAGTTCAGCCAATCGCCAACCGTGCCCTTTTACGCATCAATCTCACGTGTGACGGGTTTTGCTTGTCGGGACACATGCCTCAATTGCCCAGTGCCGCGTGATTTGTGTTTCCACGGATCCAACATGACATGAGTCATGCACATTTTTTCATGCAAGTGGAAAACCGATTCTGGATGGGCTCAGTGGAATACTAGAATGGCAGAAATGCAACAATTCGCAGAATCGGATTTGGCGAACCGTGGCACGATTTACGCATGCTCACCTTTGACAACAGAACCACATGCCAGCGTTGCATTTTCTTCCACACGGCTCGGGCACCATTCCCATGCAGTTTGTGTCCAGCTTCTATTTACGCTCGACCTGTATGAAGCCTCGGCCAATCGCGAGTGGGTGCCATGGATTCGCTTGAAGAGCCGTTGCCTTGTGGTTTGTGACATCACCAATGGTGAGCAGATTCTTCATATGCTGTTATAGCAAAGATGGCACCACACTCACGGAACCACAATGGCAACCAGTTGTTTTTGTTTCTTAAAGGGCAGTGCCGTTTGCAGAATGCGTGTTGAGCATTGTTTTTATTTTTTTTGAGGGACACTAGGCAAAATGCAATGCATCATGCACGGAAGGTCCAATATTGTAATGCACAAGTCAGAAGACAAGCAACAAGGGCCAAACCCGTTTGCCTCGGCCCAGGTTCGATCTTGCCCGTGAACTCAACTTCAGGCATGATTGCGCTGACTGTCTGTTTTCGTCCTGAACGCACCTGCGCATGTTGCCAAGCCTTTAGCGTGCCAAAGCCAGGAATGCTCCAGCGCTTCCTTCCAGAGATTTCATGGTGTTTGCGGATTTCAGCTGCATGGGTAAAACCCATCCATGCTTACACAATCTCTTCCATGAGTTTGGCTTGGTGGTCATATATATATATATATATCTTTGCATATATATATATACCCCAATCCACCGGGAGGGAGAGGCCGGTACTCCCCGGGGCTCCAGCATGTCCTGGTCCGAAGAGCTGCGGGATGCAGCCGGTGCTCAGTGGAGCCGCATCACCCAGCACCGATTTACCCGGGAGCTGGCGGCCGGAACGCTGGACTTGCAGGTGTCGAAGGGAAAGGATTTGGGTATGGGTCAAAATCTAACCACCAGGGGACCGCAGGTTTTAGTCCTTGGTTCCATTTACCATGCTTCTATTTGGGGTACCGCTTTTTGACCCACACCCACATGATCACTTTGGGTCTTCACAGATGTAACGCGCAGGGCCGCGAGAAGAACAGGTCCCAAGTTTCAAAGACGGGCACAGATGCCACACTTTGAACTTGCTAAGCCAAGCCCCCCGCAACTGCACGAGCTTTTCGCGCCGCCCGCGCCGCCTACGACGCGTTTTGCGAGTCGCGCATCGTGAGGTCATGCGGCGCTATCTGATCCAAGACCACCGGTTCCTGGATGCGCTGGTGGTGCTGCTGGCGAGCATGGTGGCCAGCCTTCGGAGCTTGGAGGACCGGATCCCGGCGTGTCAGTTCCTGGGCTCGCTCACGGGCCCAGAGAATACCTACTTCGAGAGGCGGGGAATTTTGGAAAATGAGTGGGGTCGAAGAACCCCGTGGAAGAAAATGCAGAGAGGGCAGTGGGGAATCTTGGCAATTTTGGGCTTTGGGATGTCGCCAGTCACAGGTGCACCAATAGACTTTGGGAGGCCGGATGGCCGTCGTCACATGGAGAGTGCTGTGAGAGCCGAGTGTTCTTTCTCAAGGAGTTGGGGGCATGGGATCCCGCGGACTTGTGGATGGGCAATCTGTTCGGCCAATGCCCCAAGCGTTGAAGGCATCTCGCCGTGAGCCGGCTCCAATGTAACAGCCCTGAGAGGTGCTTTCAAGCTCTGAGCTGCACGCCGGAGGTGCGCTCAGAAGTGCCGGATGCGGAGTGCACCCAGAACTTTGACAAGTTGATGAGAGAGGTCGCTAAGGGGTCCTTGGGTGAGATGTTGGCAGTGTTGACGGTTTGCGAATGGAGTTATTTGTGCTGGGCACAGAACGTGGCCGCGGACGCGGCGCGGGAGAACTTTGTGTTTTACGAGTGGATCGACCTTCACGCGGGCGATGCTTTTGCTGAAGTGGTTCAGTACTTGCGACAGTTGCTGGACAGGGAAGGGGAGCTAATGGAACCAGCAGGCCGAGAAGTGTGCAGAAGACGCTTTCTACAGGCGGTGCAGCTTGAAGAGGACTTCTTTGACGCGCTCTACACGGCAACTTAAAGCTCACAGTGAAAAAAATAAAACAGTCGAGAAAGGTTTGTTCAGGGTTTTTGCCTCCGACCACCATCAGTCAGCTTGAATCCGAAGGTCAGTTTTGGCGCGTTTTGGCGCAGTTTGTCTACAGTCGCGACATGTGATGTGACTAGTCCTGACGGTACTACTAGTTCACTTTTTCCAAGACTTGACAGTAGAGTCTCCAAAAGATATGCTCCGGCATTGTCTGTTTTTTGAATGGCTTTCCATCTGGTGATGCTGGCTCTTGCTTGCTTGTCGCCAGCGTATAGTGCTGGTATCTTGGCCAGTGTTTCTGTCATCCCAGCATGCATGATATGATGGCAGATTTCTGCTGCAAGCAGAAGCTAGCATTTGCAGTCACGCGCATCTTGACGTTCTCGACGGATAGTGGTTGTGGACGACTGGCAAAGCTATCATTATTTGCACACCTCGGAGTCTGCAAGAGATTTTCCTTGCTGGAAAGTGCGCACATCTGCAATCTCACTCTTTTCGGCATATTCTGCTCAGCAGCCACCAGTACAGCTAGGAACCATTGCAACTACAGTCGTTCCCCCAAGCACTAACTAACAGTCACCTTTGTTTGGCTCCCTCGTTTCACATATCACAGATCACAGCACCTGTGCGTGACATGCGCCGGGCCGCATGGCGGGCCATGCGGGGCCTCTCGGAACAGTTCGAGGTGTCAGTGAAGGGCAAGACCGTGGAGTTCACGTCCAGGACTCATGGCAATGGCATCCCCCGGAAAAAGACGGGCTCGGAATTCGTACATTGCAACAACCAGCGCGCGGAATTCGATGGAATTTGGGATGACTCATGGTCCTTGACGTGAAGGTGGGGTAGTAGAGGTTGGTTTGGATCGACACTCCTACCGATATGGCCAGCGGAACTGGCGACATTTCGTGCCGTGCATGAGCATGTGGACAGCAAACGGATGCCTTTGAACTGGCGATCAGCCTCCAAAAGTTGGCCTTCTGACTTTCATCAAGGGTCCTGCATGTTTTTTTGCTGGCCGCATCCACTTCGTCTTCTTCCTCTTCCTTTTGTGTGCTACTTGGCTTTCTTGCTCTCTGTCTCTCTTTCTTTCTCTCTCTCTTTTCTTTCTTTGTCTCTTTCTTTCTTTTCTTTCTTGCTTTCTTTCTTCTTTCTTCTTTCTGTTTCTTTCTTTGTCTCTTTCTTTCCCCTTCCTTCCGTTTCTTTCTTTCTTTCCTGCCTTCCTCTTTTTCTTGGCACTGACTTGAGTCCCTGGCTTGAGCCCCAGGAAGTCCGATTCGGACGTGATGGCTGGCTTGAGCCGCCTGCAGACGGACTTCGCACGGAACCTGCACAAAGCCGGCTCCGAAGGCGCGTGCCGGGCGAAATCTCGTTTTTCTTCTTCTTTTTGTTTGTATCTTTTTTTTTTCTTCTTATTTTTCTTAATTTCTTCTTTTTTCTTCTTTTTCTGTTTTGTTCTTCTCTTTTTTCATTTCCCCCCTTTTTTTTCTCTTCATTCCCCAAACAGTGTGTCTACACTAAGGGGTTCTTACGGTAAGAGAAAAGCCTTGGTGCCAGATTGAGGTGCCCGCTCTGTCCGCGAGCGTTTTGCGTGGTATGTACCGCAGATTCGTGCTCTTGCTTGATGTCGAAGTGCGATTCGACTGCGCAGGCTCGCACAAAGTGAGGTGTCGACTTCTGTCCGCGAGCGTTTTGCGTGGTATGTACCGCAGATTCGTGCTCTTGCTTGATGTCGAAGTGCGTTTCGACTGCGCAGGCTCGCACAAAGTGAGGTGTCGACTTCTGTCCGCGAGCGTTTTGCGTGGTATGTACCGCAGATTCGTGCTTTTGCTTCGACTGCTCGCACAAAAGGTGTCGTCTGTCGACTATGTGCGCAGGCTCGCAGAAAGTGAGGTGTCGACTTCTGTCCGCGAGCGTTTCGCGTGGTATTTACCGTAGATTCGTGCTTTTTGCTTGATGTTGAAGGCTCCAGGGACCGTGGGGGTTTTGTCTCGTGGTCCGGCGGCACGGGTTTCCGGCGAAAGGTCCCGGGCTCGATTCCCGCCCTTGTTTCCCTTTCTTTGGGCATGCTTGGATGGTGCTTCTGTGCTGCGACGGCTTCTCGATGGTAACAACAACCAAACAGCACCAGCAACAGCAACAGCAACAGCGCCACATTCATAGAAAGAAAGAAATACAGAGACAAAACAACGAGAACCAAGGAAGAAGCTACCTAGCTAGCTAACTCACTAACTCAGGCACCCTGTTGAAACAAACGCACAGATCTTGCCTTTTGTAGTGATGCATGCGCAGCCATGGGCGCAATAATCTTGGCGACGCTGCTGGAAGTTGCGCCTGCCGATGTGCGCGCGGAATTCGAGCATCTCGGGTCATGTGTCTTGGGAGACCTTGCGGCTGCGCAGGCGGGTGCTTTGTTGGAAGGTTTATCTTCGGATCGACAGGGCTTATGGACGGCGTGCAAGAACGCAGGGATTAGCCGGAAACAAGGTGGGAGACGCTGGCGAAGGACAAGCTTCTCGCCGTGCTGCCGGCGGTTTCATTTCAGGCTCTTCTGGACTACGCCGTGCCTGGCGAGATGGGGAGGGAACTGGAAGAGTACGGAGAGGTCCTCGTGGCGGCGCAGGAAGCGGCCAGAGTGACAGAGCTCCTGCGTGCGTTGGGAGCGGGTGCAGATGAGCTCAGGAAAGTGAGCAGTGTGTGGGGGATCGCAATACGAAATGCCAGTGGCGGAACACGCGCAGCAACAGAGCCACAAGCTCGAAACATGCAGCAACAAGCTACCGCGCCTTGACCGCAGCGCCTTTGCATCTACCAACAGACTGGCCGGCTGCGGCTGCGTGCAGTGCCACGCATCTATCCCAGCAGCCCTGTCCTGCGATTCTGCCGTCTCACCGATATGTGCTGCTCATGGAAGAAAAAACGAGCATGCCTGCTGGCCATGCCTGTGCTCCTTTTTCTTCTTGGTGCTGTGTCTCTACTCCCACACACGTGTCCTCGTCTTTGTGAGTGTGCGCGCAAATACCGCAAAATGATGTTGCAGCTTCCTGACAACAACCGCCGTTTTGCGGCGCTGCCCGCACAATACTCTGCAGCGTGTGACCGCCGCCTATCACTGTTTGGGGTCTCGTGCCGGGGTATTTTTTTCTTTTTAATGTTTTTCTTTCTCCTTTTGTCCTTCTTCTTTTTTTTTTCTTCTCCTATTTGGTTTCCTTTTCTTTTTCTTTTTCATGTTTTTTCTTCCTTTTCTCTTTTTTTTTCTTCGGCGGTTCTGCCGGCTGGCCAGGTCCCAAGAAAAGATCAGTGAGCAACAAAGCAGTAGGGATAATCAAGATCTATGCGTTTTGATCCGCTGGTGCGTTATTTAGTTTTTCTTCTTGAGAGAATGTGTCTAACCCAAGGCTCGTGTTTGTGCCACGCAAGGGGGTCCGAATATGGAGAGTTGAACAGAAACAAAACATGATTC